ACTACTTATTAATGTGTACACTTGTTATGTTTGTGATTTATTTAGTAATAGTACTACTTATTAATGTGTACACATTTATGTTTGTGATTTATTTAGTAATAGTACTACTTATTTTTTTCAGATATGGTACACACGTTATATTTATACAGTGCACTATAAATAAACATTTCTGACTTATTACAAAGTATCAGAAATATCAATGGCCATGCTTTTCTGAGTTGAAAGACAAGCAATACCTTTATCTTGCCTTCAATAATGCTGGGGTACTATAAAAAGAATGATATATCACTCCAGTTAATCATCTTTGAAACACAATACACTGCACATACAATAATAACACAGTTAAGTATGATACTATATTTCTTAACACAACTACAATAAAATTAAAAAAGAAAACTCTTGAAAATTAAGACACATTTACAAGTATTACTATTACTAAAGAAATCACAGACATAACAGTTTTACACATGGATGAGTAACACTATTCCTATTAAATGAAATCACATACATAACACTTGTACTAAGTAGTACTATTACTAAATAAATCACAAACATAACAGCTTAAATATTAAGTATAGAATTGTATATATATTGAAATTATTTTGTTAAATACTTGTAACATATATATATATATATATTAATCTGCAGTGTCCTGCTTTATTTGCATAAAGTGAATTATCTTAATTACAGTAAACAACATTCAGGCTGTATTAATATTAGGCTAGAACACTGAAAACTTTCAATATTACATAACTCTTACTAACAACACTAAGTTATGATACAAACATGAAAATCAGAGAGACAGTAGCATTTTCACATCTTTAATGTTATTGTTTCTTACATATACTTATAATTTAATGACAATAAGGAACCTGTTGGTTCATCCAGGCAATCCCATCCACTTTACTAAACTTTAAATCAAAACACTTAAAGCTAATCTTATCATTCAAATACTTATCAAGCCTTCTTTTAAAACTGCCCATCCAAAGGAAATCCATTCCAAAGGCCAACTACCCTGTTACAAAAATAAAGCTGTCTCAGCTGAATATGACCCCTAACCTGCTAAAATTTATATTTATGTCCCCTAGTCCTACCATTCTCACAATTAACTATGAGACAAGATGATACATCAACACTATCAGTTCTCTAAACAATCTTAAACACCCTTAGATCTCTTCTAACTCTTCATTTTCAAGATAAAACCATTTCAGAGATCTAAATCTGTCTTCATATGACAACCTTTCCATTCCAGGTATCATTCTAGTAGCCTTCCTCTGAACCCTTTCCAACAACTCAATGTCCTCCCTGAAGGAAGGAGCCCAAGACTGAACACAATATTTCGAATGTGGCCTAACCAATGACCTATACAATGAAATTATTATATCTTTAGACTGACATTCAATATTATGTAGATATAATCTAAAATTCTATTTGCTCTGCTATTAGGAATAGCACATTGCTTGGATGGCTTAAGGGACTATTCAACTAGAACACCAAGATGCTTTTCTTTTGAGAAAGAGTTTTTGTTTCAAAAGCATGGTAGTTGATAAGTATCGTTGAGTATTGCAACAATATGTTATATGTACTAGCATTGTAATATTTACTCACCCAAGTCTCTAAGCCATCTATCAATAAAAAAAAGATCCAGTTAATAGCTTTATACATATTTGTACTGTGATTTTTGTTTTAAAACAGTAGATGATGTACAGTAAGTTTACTTTTTTATCATACATTCTTTATTATTTCAAGGATCATTCTCCATCTTACACGAGATACTATCCTCAAGGTTATCATTTAGCTGAAGGATCACCAGAAGATGAACATGTAGTTTCTCAACAAAGTCTACTTGAACCAGGTGGTAGCTATGAAAACCATCATTCCTTGTCTGAGAGAAGGCAGGCTGGAAGACAAGATGGGGATGGATATTTCATAAGTGAAAACAGTGCGAGTAATGAAGGGCAGCAATGCGTAGAACAGATTGTGTTAGATAACAATGAAAGTGATTTATTAGAATATAGAACTAATGAAAACCATATGGCAGATACACTTAACAATCTCAAATCCAGTGACATGTGTAGTCGTTTTGAAATGAATGGGTTTACAGAAGAAAATCATGAGGAAGAAGACCTTTTGATCAGTAACTTAGGAACAAGACAGAATGATGAAGATAACCAACAGTTAGCCATTCTTTATCAAAATGAAAGAAATTTTAACATGCATGAAAAAGTTGATTACATTAGAAGAAATGGTACAGGAGAAGAAAGAAGTGGCTCATTTGGTGATGGGGACAAATTCCAACTTTTGCCAGGTGAAAGAGGTAAGACTGTGGTTTGATATTGAAGACAATAATAAAGTATGAATAAAATACTATGAAATGTTTTACTACAAAGAATTAACAATATATGCACACACAGTTATCTCATGCTTGGTATTTTGCCATTAAATAATATAACAGATTCTGTGATAAAACAGTGTTTGCCATTGTTTCTTTGTAGGGATGTGTCCATAACTATTTTAAACTAAATCATCATCATTTAACGTAAGCTCTCAAATTGCTTTGAAACTGAGTGAAAGTTAAAAAATACAGACATGAAGTAAGTTACATTGTAGGTGAAAAAATACTATTAAAATTTTACTTTCTGGTACAAAAAAGTAAAATTTTTTGCTCTCAATTTAAGCCTATAAGTTAGAATAAGTGATATATTTTGTGTGGGTTTTAAAACAAGTTTGATTTTAAGAAAAAGGCCTCATCAGCTTTGTAAATTTTTTTTAGGTTAATAGTACCAAAATAAAGAATATGTCAGTAAAGAAGTGCCAATGATATATTTTTATTTATTTATTTCTATTAATGTGAAAAGACATAGAAAACCAATCATCTTCAGGCTTGTCAGTGATGCGTAATCTACTTTTGTACTAAATTTTCTATAGCCCTTAAAGTTAATGAAGACATATGGAAAATCTTTCGAAAAACATCAAGTGTGATGGCAAGAAAAGCATAAATGAAAGAAAAATTTTGAATTGTTTTTTTCCTTTCTTTCTTAATTTTTCATGTGAATAACATCAAGGATTAAGATTTTATACAAAAATAAAACTGCCAATAAATAACTAAAATACTTGATTTTAAAATCATGTCACATTGCCTAATTTGAAATTTTAGTTACCACTGCATTTAGTGGGTTGCTGTAACAAGCCCAAGCAAGTGCCAAGTTTGTAATAGTTTATATCATAGTTTTAATGTGTAGCCCTATGTATCCAGGTAATGTGTAGTGTTACCCTTATTTCACAGAAGAACTATTTACTGAAAGACTGATAATTCTCTTGGTAGTAGCTTTTATGCTTTATTAGTTCAATTAATAATATTTCTTTTAATTAATATGTGATTGAAACCAGAACTAACATGGACTCAATCAACATCCGAGTGATTTGTGTTTTAGATTATTACATGTTTCCGAAACAACACCTCAAATTTGCACACAGAATAGCTATATCTCTTATGTGTCTGCCTATGAGATTTGCATGCTACTAACCTTCAGTTAACTCTCACCTAAAATTCATGTGTGTGTAACTTGAACTGTGCTGGTACATGATGATATTATCATGTGACAATACTCCCTTCACCAGTAGGAGGGCTACACTACCTCAATGTGCAGTAACTCCCCTTAAGCACTTGTACTTGCAGTATATTCATTCTTTTTCTCAGCATTTGCTTTGAATGAAGGTGTTGATTTTTCTGCTACGTTCAATATACAATTCAAAGGAACATGTTTCGTTCTACCATAGCTTTTTGTTTCAAAAGAATTGTAATGACTTCTCAAGTGATGATAACTTTGAATGTGTCTTTGATTTTTCCCATTCTTTACTTCAGGAAACCCATTCTTAGCATTACTTTGTCTTTCATTCATCACCTGATTTTAAGTTTTATGCTGATTCCTTTCTAGAAAAACTTCACACCCGTACCCACAAGCCTTGTCCTCTTTGCCTTCTTGACTCTTTTGTCCTGACTTATAGCCATCCTTCCTATCATTTTCTAGATTCTCAGTCTTTGAAATCTCTTTTGCCTGCTTGGGGAGATTATCCCTTGTCTTCTATTTTGATCTTTACTGCCAATTTTTGCAACTTCATCTTTTTTTCACCACCCTCCTGCTTTACCTCTCATCCCCTTATATTTGAGGCACTTCATCATGCCCCAGAAGGATTTTCCAGAGATGTTCACTCCCTTCTCTTTACTGCCTTGGTCTGTACCACTTTTTTTTTGCTCTGTCTCTTATTATTTGGTTCCCCTGCTGTTGGGTCAGAATGCACTCCTCACTAATGTTCATCTCTTTCTTATCTGATTCACTGGAGACTCGTGCTGAAGCAGCCCAGCATCACTCCTTGTTACCTTCTCTAGTTTCTTGCCTTTCTCAACCTTGCTTTTTGTCTCCTGTTCCTTGACCATATCAGTCTACCCTTCCCATTCCAATTTCCAAGCCTTCCTCTTTTTCTGCTTTCCAACATCAGATTTGTCACTCATCTCATTAGTGATTATCCTATTGTTTCGGAACCAGTGGGTGATCATCTGTCTCACTTCACTAACTTTAGTCTCACTTTTCTTCTGAAAGATGGGTTCTTTAGGTTTTCACCCATGGCCTCTCTCCATTTTTCTTGTCTTCCCCCTTCTCTCCTCTTCCCATTTCCTTTATCTTCATTTATTCTCAACATCATGAAGATGTGGTCTTTGATCTTTTGACTAAAATTGTAATCGAAAGGGTATACACCCTTTCTCTGGGTTTTTACTCTCACCTATTTGTGGTCCCCAGGAATACCGGGGACAGGCATCTGATTATAAACATATTGTCTCTCAACCAGTTTCTGGTTGCTCCACATTTTTGGATGTAGAATTTATTTTCTCCGCAGTGGTCATTTTCACCAGGTCTGTGGATGACAAAGGTCAACATATCAGATGCCTTTCTACATACTCCAATTGTCCCGTCCTCAAGATGTTTTCTATGTTTCGTCTGTTGGAACCAAGTCTTTCAATTCTGTGCTCTTCCGTTTAATGTATCTTTGGCCCCTTATGTTTTCAGTTGAGTTATGAGGGCCTTTGCTCAACCAATTCACAGATTGGGACAGAGATTCCACTTTTTCATGAATGAGTGGTTCTATTTGCCCCTTCTCGGGAGGTGTTCTCTTACTCCTCCCATGTTCTGTTGTAGGCTGCTCAGTTGGGATGGCTTATCAGCCTTTCCAAATGCTATCTCCCGCCTACACTGTATTTAGTTCATTTGGGCATTTACTTCAATTCTCACCTCAGATGGACTCAGCCTTCACCACTTCATATTATGCAGACTACAGCTCTTGTGAGTATTTTGATTGGCATTTTATGGTTTCATTGTAACTTTGCAGTTCACCTGGTGTACTGTCTGAACTAGAAGTTCTGTAAGACATATAAAGTTGAAATTTCAATGCTTTTGTTGTCAACAGTGCTGATTATTTATTCCAAGATTACAATGAGTAAGAGTAGTTTAGTTGTTAAGTGCAATCGGTTTTATTTGGGAACTCAGAACTGGTCATCATATTTAAGGAAGCTAGTAATGAAGTTGTACAATTGGTTTTTTTAGGGTTTGAAGGTAGGATGGGAAATTTGAGGCATCCTAAATAGAGTAGAGGTGATAGATAGAGAGAAGGGTAAAGTGTGGGAAATGGCAGCAGAGAAACTTAAGCTTTTCCATGGAAAATATGCAATAGCTAATAATGACTTTCAGTAAGTTAGAAACATCTTAATATAATGGACGTAGTGTGTATATATATATCTATGTATGTGACAGAAATGCTAAGTACAATGTGGCACTACCTACTGAATGGCACCACAAACGAAAATCAATATAAAATTTCCCACTTTAGGTATTTAAGATTCAGACAATTAGAAAAATAACTGCAGTACGTGTAACAACCGTTTCTCTGTCACAGGACACAATCTTAAATAAAAGAGATGACTGGTTTATTAAATTATACTTTCTCTTTAATTTAAAAGGAAAGATTTACACAGGAGATTTCACTAGCAAATCTTAACAAGATATAAACATATAGTTAATGGCCAGTAAAAGGAAAGATTTATTACACAGGAGTCTTCACTAGCAGATCTTGACAAGATATAAACATATAGTTAATGGCCAGTAAAAGGAAAGACTTATTACACAGGAGTCTTCACTATCAGATCTTGACAAAATATAAACATACAGTTAATGGCCACTAAAAGGAAAGACTTACACAGGAGTCTTCACTAGCAGATCTTGAGTCTTTCAAAATAGAAACATATAGTTAACGGCCAGTAAAAGGAAAGATTTACACAGGAGTCTTCATTAGCAGATCTTGACAAAATATGAACATGTAGTTAATGGCCACAAAAAGGAAAGACTTACACAGGAGTCTTCACTAGCAGATCTTGACAAAATAGAAACATGTAGTTAATGGCCACTAAAAGGAAAGACACAGGAGTCTTCGCTAGCAGATCTTAAGTCTTTCAAAACAGAAACCTATAGTTAATGGCCACTAAAAGGAAAGACTGAGTCTTCACTAGCAGGTCTTTACAAAACAGAATCATGTAGTTAATGGCCACAAAAAGGAAAGACTTAGACTGGAGTCTTCACTAGCAGGTCTTTACAAAACAGAATCATCTGTTTCAAATAAATTCAGAAATATATCTACTTTCTGTGACAGTACTAGGGCAGTACTAAATACCCAAGGTAAAGTCGAACACAACATGATTCCATGAAACAGTAGATAGTTTCTATGACTACAGTAGATCTTTGTTTCATGCAAGAACTACAAAAGAATTTAAAAGCTTTTTAAAATTTGAAATATTGACTGTGAATAAGTGAGATGTGTAATGTTTGCATATTGTATTCTCAGCATTATTCCCTTTCGTCTTATTTGGTAATAATAGACATGGAAAATCACTTATTATCACCTATTTTAGCAATAATGGGCCTTGAAATAGACATGTACTACTAGTTATAATTGGTTTTTGAGAACTAAACTTTAATTAGTCTGTAAAAGCTTACAAACTGAATAGTTACTCATACCATTAAGACTTTCATTATAATTTACTGAAACTGTTATACATTTTAATTTTGACAGTAAATTGTGCTGTTGAAATTTTTATTATCATTTTTCTAAAGTATCATACACTTTAATGTTGATGGTGTTGTTTTATGATAGAACAGAATGAGCTGCTTCAACTTCAAATACTGTACAAAGCACGGAGCCGCGAACTTCAACAGGTTACTTCCGAGTTGGAACAGTTCAAAGAAGATGCTTCCAGAGAAATTCGCATTCTTAAACATCAGATAACTCTGCTGCAAGGTTAGTGAAAATCCTAATAAAAAGTTACTTTAATGTTAGCTTCTGCTCTTAGTTGTTAGGATTTGAGAGAAACAGTATATAGAAATGCAAACATTATCTGTTACTAGAGTTTATCAAAATGTTCATATCTTGAAGAAGTTTCAGTGTAAAATTTGCTGTAGTTGTAAAACTCGTTAATAAAAATTTGGGATTATTATTTCTAGAATAACTGAAATAAGTAATATATCTACAGTAGTGTGAAACAAGAAAAAAAAATGAAAATTTGTATGTAAGCTTTGAGTATAATACACCATTGCATTTGGAATTTTGAGAAACTTTTCAAGTTTCTGATAAAAGGTAAACTTTTTGTTGATATAAATTATGTAATATTCTAGATTTTCAGTATCAGTAATTTGAGTATCTAATTCGTAAGAAACTGTAGACTTTGTATTCGGGCATTACAAACATTTAATTTGAACCAATGCTGTATTCAACATACCATGTGACACTCAAAAATTGATATTGAGGATTTTTTTTTTAAATATTACTTTTAAATTAAGAAATTAACTAATGTATAATACTAAAATTTGAATTATAATCTACAATTTGATACCAAACTTATTTATATACATTCATATAATAGTAGTTCAGTAAAATTTTGAATGTGAATCAATAAATGCGATGACATGGACTTTGAGCAGTGATCTAGGAAGACCTGTGTTAGTACGGTTAATTGAATGAATTTATTAAGTCTTTTTCAGGCCATTGAGCCCCTTTTATGAATCATCAGCTGAAGAACAAGAAAATGTTTAATAAAATTTTTGTCTAATGATCTATTTATCAAGCTTTTTAATATATTCTCAGGAGATAAGGAAGGTTTGTCCTTTAGTCTACAACAGGCTCAACAACTATTGGCAGATAAAGAGGAAGAAAACAGATCCCTAGAGGGAATTAAGATAGCACAGGAAACTCAGCTGGAAAATGAAAATCAAGCTAAACAAGAGGTTGGTATTGATTTTAAGATTTTTTGTAAAATTTTGCTGTACATAATAAAGAAAGTGTTAAAACTTCTTAAAAAGCCACCAGTGATAAATTACCATCAACATGGACATACATGTATATATGTAGCTTTTCAATTAGCTTAATAACATTACCAAGAGAACAGGAATTGTTTTACTATGTTCTTATCTAAATTCTATCATTTTAACATTGAAATTGTTTGAGTTTATTGTCAAATAATTTCCTGAGATAAGAATAAATGAATTTGGATGCTGCAGTATGGCTGGTAAAGTACATACCCATCCCTCTGGAAATCTGCTAGACATGCTGCCCGAACTGGGAAATCAGCTAAACAAATACTTTATACATATTAAACTTATATTTAAGGAGAAAACATATTTATATGAGCTGTACTACAACTTTTGGCAAATCCAATTCATCCACATCATTCTTCAGGATATATATAGACAAGCACGATGATTCATGCAAGACTGTGACATGGTGAGGTGCAAGTAACTTTTCAGCTTCCTTAGGGCAGAAACAATCTTTCAGCAGTACATGTAGTTGCTGGAGCCACCATATAGATTTTAAGCAGAGTGAAAACTGATGGACAAACATTCTTAAGCACAGGATTTTTGCACATTGCTTCACAAAAATAATGTATGGAAATCTTTGATGAATCTGAAATATTTTGGCAATGACACTGTGCACTTGTTCAATTTAATATTTCACACAGTCCTTTAATTTTAACAGCACCAGGTCATCTTGATAAATGTTGTACATTTCATCAATAGCAGTTGCAGATTGCTTACATAGAGATTTCTCGATCCCTGCTAGTTTATGCATATCACCTGTGGGATATCTGACAGAAACTGATTCAACAGCAGCTGCAAACACTGATTAGTATATACTTTCAAATTCAGCTTATACAGTTTGTGTGACGTTTGCACCTCTGTGCAATGCAGGCTCTTCAATGCATATAGAATTAGAAGTGGATAAAATGGATTTGCAAAACTGTATTACAATGCCAGTATCATTAGCATCTGGCAGAAGAGAAGCCATGCCTTCGATTTTTGAGAGGGCAAACTGCACTGAAACTTTAGGTGACTGTATTAAAATGTGCACTGGTTAAGTTATTGTAAACAGCTTTTCCAACAACTTCAGACCAAAAAACATTCTGAACTTCTGCATGCTATTAATTAACCCACAAGCTTGCACATGCACGTTTGATGGCAATGCAGTATCATTACAGGTTTCCTCTAGCCATCCAACAAACTGGCAGTTCCAAAACATACATACCTCCACTGACACTAATAGCTATTTCTTGATCTTCATCTTTGCCATCTAATGTTGTGTTCACTTGCTCCAGTCTTTATATACCCCACTCAACTGCCCTCAGCAATATCTAATTTGCAAAACTTTATGCTGGCCCTCACACACACCCTCTATACAAGTACTGTATATAAGCACTGTATGCAGACAATAAAATCACTTTTTCCTGACAAAACGCGAGCATTCAGACTAACATTTTATGAATTACATTTTCTCAGTTTTGCTTTCTATTAAATGGGAATTCTTTGTTTTGTTATCCAGAGATATATTTAGTTGAATTTGTTTTTTGTTTTTTTTCCTATAAATATATTTAAAAAAACATTGGATATGAACCCTCATGTAATGGTTTCAAGCACGGAGGCTACTCAGCCCTCGTCTACTCCTCCTTTGTTATTTAGTGGTGGTCGGCAGTTTGGGGGGGAGCCACTTTCTGTGGAAGCTGTCTGTGATTTGATTTTCGGGGCAAGATTGAGTCCTTCATGCGGCCTGGAGGGAATCTCTCCGGGAGGTGCTGATTCGAATTTTCATTCTGAAACAGGATATTCTGGGGAGAATTTAGACTCCCTGTTTCTTGCTGCTTCTTTCACTAGAGCTTCCTCTCCTGAAGACTCATCTGATCAGCCACCTTCTGCACCTTTTCTGCAGTTAGTTACACATGTTTGTGAAGTTTTGGAGTTGCAACCAGTTGCTTTTGAGTCTATCCCTACTTTGTTTTCCGATCATTCTTAAGGGAATTACTTAGTTTTTCCTCCTTCTCCTGATATTGCTTTGCAACACAATTACATGAGGGTGTCGCTATACCTTCCCCCCTTCATTTATCTGAACAACATGCTCTGATGTATCTTCGTCAAGATGATATATATTTGGACACTCAAAGGTTGGATCCATTGTTGGATCTATGGATTGCCTGGTATGAACCTGTTATCTCTCTTAACAGGTTGCAATTTTTGTTGATTTGTTTGACTCTTACTACTGTTTTAAGATACTTCTCTTCCCTTCAACTTTTGTCTGAAGCATATCACCGATTGCCTTAACAATTTGACGATGAACTGGCCCCTTTACTGGTCACTACTATGACATGTTTGTCCTCTTCAGGACTTGCCTTGGTGTTGTGGTTGTTCTGTTGCTGGGACTTATTGAATCGTGATGCATTTTTGGAGGGTATTCACTTACCTTTTTCTGCCCTTCAAGATATATGGGAAGTGCCTTTTCTTGTGCCTTATTTCTTTGCTGGAATTCCAGAATCTTTAAAAGCCAGAGTTGATACAGCACATTTGCAGTCTTCCTTTTTGTCTTTGGCTGCTTGACTCTATTCTACTTCCATTTGTACTTCTGCAGATTCATCTCTTCTTGTTTCAAGGCCCCCTCTTTCCATTGATTCTCTTAATTGTTTCCGTCCTTATTCTCAGGAGATATTTCACGGGCCGGTATGTGGACTTCTCCCAAAATGTTCATATCTCATTACCTTCATGATCTGGCAGTTTCCTCTTCAAAGGAACTTCATCTTTCCCCCTGTGGCTTTGTTGACTACCTCTACTAGATTTTACCAGGGTGGTTAGTAATGTGTTATCTGACTTACAGTTATTGTTCTTTTCTCTTTAGAGTCCCTATTGATTTATTTTGGATCCCACTTAGTGGCGAGTGTTGCCCAGTCAGTTGTGCTTGTATTTAAATTCCGCACTAGCAGCATTTATATCGGTTCCTGGTTGCAATGGGCTCTGTCGAGATGAGGTGTTCCAAAAGACCATAGTAACGTGTTATCTGACTTACAGTTATTGTCCTTTTCTCTTCTAGGGTCCCTATTGATTTCTTTTGGATCCAACTCTGTTGGTGAGTGTTGCCCATTCAGGTACGCTTGTATTCAAATTCTGCACCATGGACTATCATGAGTAAAGTTAAAGGGGATTTTGCCAGTACCTGCTGATTTTAAAGCTGAATCAGCCGGGATAAGTTTGCTTTTAAAATTAGGGAACGTGGTTCACCTGTTGCATTGTCCCTGGAGACCTGTTCATCAGGACTCCCCAGCGCTTATGTTCTCCCCTTACTTCTACTAGTGGAGCTCGGAAGTCCTCACCACACCCAGTGCCCAGTGTCTGGGGTGGTGAACAGAGGATTTACCTTCAGAGTGTTGAGTTTTCTCCACTCTCGGAGAAGAGGGGAAAGTTGGGGACCCTCCTACCTGGGTCTTTGGAAGTTTTTTTCCCACATGGCGGTAGTAGCAAGGCCAACCTACATGGGAGACTACTCGTAAAACTAGTCCAGATTTGATGCTTAGCTATCCAGTAGGGGGGGGGTGATTGGACCCTCTTATGAATACTGATGATGACAAAACCTTGTCCGCTATCTCATCGTAAAGTTGAACGTGACACGGTCCCATCTTTGGTCTTTGGTGGGACAGTGTTCCACATCCTCTCCTTAATTGAATGGGTAAGTGGAATTCTCCTTGCCCATTTGATGGGGGAGTAAAGACAACTGTTTGTAAATCCAGACTAGATGAGTCCTGGACTTTGTTAGAGTATGGCATATGATCCCATCAATCCAGACCTGGGATGTTGCCTTTTGGACTTCTTCAGGTTGATCAGAAGGATTGTTGTTGTTGTCTTTCTTTCATAAATCCAGTGGTTTGAAATGCGTAATTCTCTGATTACTGGTAGGAATCCTATCACAAAGATATATATATCTGCAGGCCAACTACCCTGGCCACCAATGAGGGATATGGGTACCATGACCTCTTAAATCCAACCTGAGTTGTGGAACCTCGGCTGTTTGGTCAGGGTTGGACCATCATACTTATATTCCACCCTTTTACATTTTCTGTAGTTCTGGGTGAAGAGCATACCTGTTCTGGATGTTCCCCACTTTGATACCACTTCTCATGGTACATATTTGTTCTCTGCAGATGCTTTCTATATGATCTCTGTCCTCACTGGCCCCTCAACCTTCTCAATGTGGGATTCTAGCTATTAGTGTCAGTGGAGGTATGTATGTTTAGGAAGTTATCATTTTCCTAAACTGAAAATGTATTTCCAAACATACTTACCTTTGCTGACACTCTTCCTCCCTCCCTTCCTCTCCCATGGCCAGGTGGTGAGGGCGCTTGACTCACCATCTTCGGGTCGTGGGTTCGAATCTCTGTCACACCAAACATGCTTGCCCTTTCAGCCATGGGGGCATTATAATGTGTGGTCAATCCCACTATTCATTAGTAAAAGAGTAGCCCAAGAGTTGGCGGTGGGTGGTGATGACTAACTGCCTTCCCTCTAGTCTTACACCACTAAATTAGGCATGGCTAGTGCAGCTTTGCACGAAATTCGTAACAAACCAAACCACACTCTTCCTCCCCACTAATAGCCGGTGTTAGTGACTAGAATGTGGTAAGTCTCGAAAAAGTAATTTTATTGTCTGCATACAGTGCTTATATACAGTACCTACATGGAGGGCATGTGAGGGCCAGCATAAAGTTTTGCAAATTAGGTATTGCCGAGAGCAGTTGAGTGGGATATATAAAGATTGGAGAAAGTGAACACAATGTTAGATGGCAAAGATGAAGATTGAGAAATAGCTATTAGTGTCAGCAGAGGTAACTATGTTTGGAAATACATTTTCTGTTTAGGAAAATGATAATATTGAGCTACATATGACATCACAGCATTGCCTCACAAAACCCAGTGTGTTGGACACAGAGATAGTAAAGTGGCAGAAGGGGCATCATCCACTGTAAAGGCTTCATAGGATGCCTTTCTACGAGGGGAGTATTTAATAACTGCGACCACCTGTTGTAGAACTTCCTGTAATTCCACCTAGTACAAATGAGAACTTATAATGGACTATCAAGTTCAGTCCATGACCCAAACAGTAGCTGAAGGTGAATTTTGGATGTTCCTTTAAAATTTGTTTTGCTACGCCATCTTTATGGCCTTTCATTGTACTGGCTCCATCATAACTCTGTGCATGAGCTTGATTATTATCTAATCCATATGATAATAGTCCTTGTTTGATTGTATTTGTAATGTTTTCAGCTGTTGCATTACTGAGAACAGATAATGCTATCCATTTCTCATCTAAATTTAAATCATCATCGACATATCTCACACACACAAGCTTAATTGCTTCTGATATGCAGAGTCACAAACTTCATCTCAAGTGATGTAAAAAAACAGTTGTTGTTAACAGCTTCCACAACATTACTGAGTACATTATGAGCTATGAGTTCCATGATTTCATTCTGTGAGACCCAAATGCAGTATTTATTATGGACATGTGAAGAAAAATATGTATTAAACTAGGGGTTGTGCTTTGATACCAACTTCAACATTTCCATAAAGTTACCTTCTTGAGCCTCAAGTGCCCCTGTATGCCAAACCTTACTTTCCAAAATATATAATTGCATCAAAAACCATCTCAAGTGCTTTCCTATTTGTCTCCCATCTTTCAACTTCTTTGTTGCTAACATACTTTGCCATTGTGTTTTGTGTTTCAACATTGATTTTTGTAGTCATGCATTTGCTATAACTCTGACTTCTGTATTGTTTTTGTAGACCATCCTTTCTCTTTCTAAAATTATTCCATTCTATTACTCATGGAGATGTAAAAACTGAGGAATAGTGTGATGGAAGTAAGCAATTACTTTGCACAGCCCACGTACATAGACGACAAATTATATCATTTGTATCACACCTGTATTCAACCCAGCCTTTTTGCTGTTTTCCTGCTAATGATTTTGTTACTACTGTGGATGTTAATTCTGCACATTGTGATGTTGATACTAACAGGTTCACTGCTACTGAAGTAGATGTTGATTATGCACATTGTGGTGTTGATACTGACAGGTTCGTTGTTACTGAAGTGGATTATGATTGTGCACGTTGTGATGTTGATACTGATAGGTTCGTTATTATTGAAGTGGATGTTGTTTCTGCACATGACACCAATACTACTGTGCTTATTATTACTGAAGTAGATTATGATTGTGCACATTGTGATATTGATACTGATAGGTTCATTGTTACTGAAATGGATGTTGATTCTGCACATTGAGATGTTGATACAGGTAGGTTCATTATTATTGAAGTGAATGTTTTTTCTGCACATGGCACCAATACTGGTGGGTTTATTGTTGCTGAAGTGGATTATGATTGTGCACAGGATGCCAATTTTACTGATACTACCAGCTTTAGAAATGCTGTTAAAACTGCCTGTGAAGTTTTATGCTTCTTTAAAGGATCCACTCATCTAAAAGATTAGAGAAAATATTGGCAACATTTTGTATTGTGGATAATTTAAGGAATGGCTTGTGCATAAAACTATAAAAATTATTATTAGGTTCAACACATCTCGGTAGGACTAAGCCTTATAGTAGGTACATATATTTGAACTCTAGGTCTCTAGTACAGTTGGTAAACTGCTAAAAGATTCTATAATATTCATAGTGGTAATTATTAATTGTAATTTAATATCCTACATGGTACCTATAAGTCATTGCACATTTCCTTAATGTTGTCAAGCCAATTACATTTTCTGGTGTGGTCTTGGAGTGTTTTCAACCACTATTGTAATAAATATTAAAAAACAAACAGACAGAGTGCAGGCAAATTTTGGAGTATAAAAACAAAAAAAACCATTGTTTACACTTATCCAAAATAGCTGACTTACATATAATATAAAGAGAATCATAAACCTTGTTTAAAATTTGGTGGATCTAGCAGTGCATTGCATTGTAATATTACATATATAGAATCATATAACAGTTTAAAAATTGATCTATAAAAGGAAAGAACTCGCCTTATCGTGAACAGATAGCAAGAGTAAAATGACAGTAAATGGCTTTGTTCGAGTGATGTGATTAAAAATTATATCAAATCAGGTACAAATGAGGATATGTAAACATAGCTATATATGTAAATTTATATTTTGTATACGCACATCAGTAAGTTGCCAGTTAAATATTCAAAATGACATTCTATTCCATTGTATAGTAAATTGTTTATAAATGAATCATGATAATCATTCTGTTATGCATTCCATATATATATATGTAGTATTGGTAACTAAACATCACAGCTCAAATAAATAACCCATTAAACTCTCAAACCTATATTATGCAAATATAATGAATTGAGTGCATACAGATGGTATTATTCTGACTGAATATTATTGTCAACTTAATGCTGTTTCTTTTTGAAATAGCTATATAAACTTAAGGTATGTGTAGAGAGTAGAGAACAATTCAAGCACTGCAATTCTTTTATGTTTTCCAACTTACTTATTTTTATCAATCTACTAGCGTATAGCCTGTTGAAATGATGGGGCTAGTACTATCACCCTCACCACATAGTATACCCTAACTTCACGTTTTATAGCTAATTGAAATAAATACATTTAGAGAAATCAAGCTTGACCAACAAAAAGGCAGAAAACTACAGTCAAGGTAGTCAAACATCGGTAAATTCCTGTGTGAACCCATCAAAATTAAGATCATTCATGAAATTAATTTGTGATGTATTTATAGAATAATTATTGGTAAAAATCAGTTAGATTTATGTCATGCTGCTTAGAAACAAAACTATAACCTAATATTTTTGTTAGTCTATGTACTGAAAGTATAAAATGAAATGTATAGACAACAAAACTGAAAAAATATTTTTTGATTTATTAATTTAGAGTCTATGTTGATTAAAGAGGTTTGTTTTTCATTAAAAACGTTGGTGATATAACAGAAAATAGTTTAATTTAGAAATGATTTAAGTTTAAAATTGAATTGATATTTTTACTTTCAGGATAAATTTTATGCACCTTGGCTTTAGGCTAGGTGAACCCACACTACGTCTTTACTTTAGGCTTATTATACCAACACTCACTACACTTATAAGGTTTCATGGCACCCTCCCCTCCCCTTCATGGCTCCATTGCACCTCCATCACTAAAATCTTAATGGGCAGATAGTAATCATATTATTCTATCTGGATAAATGCATTTGGGCTTTTATAACTTATGACTCCTCCTATTTTGAGAAAATCAAGAGTGACGTGACGTTACACACGCTGACTATCACATTGTTAACCAGCAGCTCATTCAGAGTGAATGTTATACAGTTAGACCTAATTAACCTGAAGTATTCCTCCAGTGATGTGTTCTGTACTTGAGCTTGACTCTTTGTATTTTGGTTCATTACTCTTCCATTTTATGTCACTATATGGATGGGTGGACCTACACATCCTTGACTCATTGTTACCTCTGCTACCAAAGGTGATGGAGATTATGATTTTATTTCGTTTTCATTGATCAGTGTTTATTAATTTTTATTGTTTAATTCAAGTAGGTTTTGATGAAGACACAAGTAGTTGGATGTGCTGCTAATAATTATTGGCACTTAAAGAAACTTTCAACAGTTATTTTGTAACATCTTGGTTATGTATTACTTGAGTATACCATAAAGATGTATATTATTTTTTCTAGCTTATAAGAAAACTTCAAGTTCAAGAATCTACCATTGACTCCCTTCAACAGCAGCTGGCAGATCTTGGCCGGTCTGAGAGTCTGGTGCGAGCACGTGAACAACATGATTCAGTTTTGAATACCTTGAAACAGAGACACATGGAGGAAACACTGGAGCTTAAAGAGGAAGTTGACAAGTGTAAACATCAGCTAGAAGCTCAGGTTTGTGTTTTAAAATAAAATTTTTAATATGTTTTGTGTGGAGTGTGTTCAAATTCTATTTACTTTGAAATTATTGATAGATTATTAAAATCAAGAAAGTGATTTTCAACAGACTTTCTTATGGTTTGTGTAGTTATTAATAAAGCTTATTATATAGCATATGAACTTATAATGGAAAGTTTGATTCATTGACCAGGAAAATGTAAAATTTTTAAAGATAATTTTTTATGTCATGAGGGTGAAATTTATTAAACACTAGTTTTGCAAGATTGTTGCATATTTAAATCTTTAGAACATTTACTGGAACAATAACCTTTATAGCTCGATCTTCACATTGAAAGTGTTCTTTATGTGGTTTAATTTGCACAGTTTTTTCCCCACATTATCAAATGTAAGTTTTTCTAGAATTTCAGAGCATTTGCTGCTTTGAAAATATTAGTTTTTATCATTAATTAATTAATATTCATTGAATGTCAGACAGAGAAAGCTGTGATTTTGCAACAGAAGCTTGATGATCAAGGAAGAATTTATGAAAAAACTATTTTAGAGAAAGCAGAGACCATTACTAGACTTACAATGAACCTCAAAACTAGTCAACAGCAGTGCCAGGAACTTCTAGAAAGTGGTAAAGTAACGGTTTTTTATGCTGATTTAAAGCTGAAATTGAAGTAGTCCATATAAATATACAATGATTGTTTTTATAATCTGTTTATAAAAGTATGCCATTACTAATATCAAGGACTGGAGCAGAAAACTATAATTCCAAAAACTAACACATTATAGGTCATTACACAATACATATAATATAACAAGTGGTCCAAAAATTAACTATTGCACATTGTACATCATCACTCAATACAATAAATGGTCCAAAAATTAATTACACACACATTATAGGTCATTACGCAATACAACAAATGGTCCAAAAATTAACTATTGTACATTGTACATCATTACTCAATTTTGTGACTACATTGGTATTAGCATCTGCTCTCTACACTAATCTTAACATTTTGTGAATACATCCTTATTAGTATGTGCTCTGTACACTAATCTTAACATCTTGTGACTACACTGGTATTAGCATCAGTTGTGTACACTAATTGTAACATTTTGTGAATATATTCATATTAGCATCTGCTGTCTACACTAATCTTGTGACTACATTGGTATTGGCATCTGTTGTCTACACTAACCTTAACATCTTGTGACTACATCCATATTAGTATCTGATCTCTACACTAACCTTAACATCTTGTGACTACATCCATATTAGTATCTGATCTCTACACTAACCTTAACATCTTGTGACTACATTGGTATTAGCATTTGCTGTCTACACTAATCTTAAAATCTTGTGACTACACTGGTATTAGCATCAGTTGTGTACACTAATTTTAACATTTTGTGAATATATTCATATTAGCATCTGCTGTCTACACTAATCTTAACATCTTGTTACTACATTGGTATTAGCATCTGCTGTCTACACTAATCTTAACATCTTGTGAATACATCCTTATTAGTATATGCTCTCTACGCCAACCTTAACATCTTGTGACTACATTGGTATTAGCATCTGCTGTCTACACTAATCTTAACATCTTGTGAATACATCCTTATTAGTATATGCTCTCTACGCTAACCTTAACATCTTGTGACTACATTGGTATTGGCATCTGTTTTCTACAATAACCTTAACATCTTGTGACTATAATTTGTTACTTCATTAGTCTTAGCATTTTTTTGCTACATTAACCGTAGCCTATTGTGACTACAATAGTCTTAACATCTTGTGACTACATTAGCTAGATGTTAGTGCTTACATGTTTGATTAAGTTTCCAGAAAAGTGATCAAAAATGGGATTTGATTAGGCTAAGTGTCAGATATGCAGCTAAAAATAAGGAGGTTTTCTTTGAAGTTGTATATCTTCATTAATCATTCAATGGTGAAACATTTATTAGAGCAAGTGTTCAACTTTACTTAAAAGAAAGTATGAAGCTAAAATGAAGGAATTAATTAATGGAGATAATTGAATTACACTTTTGTTTTGAGTAGGTTACAAATAAGGGAGATTTGTTTGTGTTTTTTACTTATTTATACAATTGTTCTTAGTGAAAGGATTCTAATCTCTTCATTTTAGGCAGATGTCAAAGTATTGTTATCTTATAAGCAATGATATATATCTGTATATAAAAAAGCTATTTAGTATTATAAAATAAGCTAATGAAAACTTCTTACATGCTTTTCATCAATAGGTACAGTTCAAGAACTAAGTCGATTAAAAAACCAATTGAAACTTGTTGAAGAGGAAAAAGACAACTTGGAAAAAAAATTGAAAGATGCTATGGTTAGTGTTTTTGGAAGGATATATTGTTTTGTGTTTAAAAAGATTGGTTGTCAAAAAAAAAGAGAAGCAGATAATTTGCACATACCAACTAAGCAGAAGTCAGTGTTTTAATATTTCCTCATATTCAGTCTAGAGAAGTGTTTTATAATTTGTTTGGTGTAAAATATGTTTTAATGGTTTTATGTAACTGCATCACATCACAAAGTTTAAATCTCTGTAATTAATGATTTGTTCATTGAAATAGTTGTTACTGATATCTTTTGTTATTGATTAATTCTAAAGTATAATATAAAACTTGCGAATGTGTTTGACTTTTTTCTGCTTCAGCAAATTGATACTCTCCAGATTAAAGAAAAAAAGATTATTTTGGTTTCTTTAATATTTGAAAGATGATCAAACAATTAAGACTAAATAAAGATAATTTATTACTTATTTCCACTTGTATAAGTTATGAAATATTACAATGGGGAGTTGTGAAACTGCAGGAACTTTTGAAGGGTGGATGTAATGAAACTATGTGAAGGCTCCATCTACTGTTACAAATAGTGAATGGTGACATTACAGAAAGTTTTAATGGGTGGATGTAATTAAAGTATAAAAAGGCTCCATCTCAGCCACTGTTACAAATAGTGAATGGTGACACAACAGAAAGTTTAGTGAGAATAAAAAAGGTACTGTATAAAACATTTTTTAGTATTCAGGTCATTACATAAAAACAATGGATTTAAACTGGTCAGCAGAGATTCATTTCTAGTTTGTCCTTGACCAGGATAATTGATATGGAGAAGAATGCTCGAAAACTGAACTTAAATCAGTGTTAGGTGGCAGATCCAGGAAACAAGTGGGTGTTTGTTTCTTTCTTGCCAAAATTTACAATTTTTGTTGAAGAGTTGAGAAGAATAAATTTGGTCGTGGTAATGTTATTTATTCTTTAGATATCTGCCAAGATATATGTTAATTATGATGAGTAAAGGACAACTCAGGCCTCTGTTTATTCTCATAATTCTGTTCAAGGCATAGCTAGTTGTCACTCAGTTACTAAATGTTTCATTAAACTGGTAATGTTATTTATTCTTCAGATATCTACACAAGATATAGGTTAATTATGAGGAGTAAAGGACAACTGAAGCCTCTGTTTATTTTCATAATTCTGTTTAAGGTATAGCTAGTTGTCACCTAGTTACTAAATGTTTCATTAAACTGTTAATGTTACTTATCAAGAGATCAATTATTGTTCCAGGTACTAATGTGATGCATAATTAAGTGTGCAAACCTTATTTTGAGCTCAGGACTAATAGTTACATAATTTCTCTTGAGCCATGGCTAAATAACTATTTGTTAACTATTAACAAGTTTAGTGTGGTCTTCTTGACGCATGGTGAAATCTCATTACATGCTCACCTTCTGCAAATTAGAGCCTTTTAGAAATAGCTTAGAATATATTCATACATGAACACTGCATAAAGGAAAATCTTTTGATCCCAACTTGATCATGATACATATGTGACTTTTACTTATTCTGATTTGTGACAATAGTAATTAGAATGTCTGGATTACTACTTGTCTAACTAACAGAATCAAGCTTGAGATCTCGTTAGCGAACTGAGAATTAACCAAGTTGGAATCTTTGTACCCTCAGGATGCTTAGAAGAAAAGTTATGTATGTTAACTAGAAAAACATAGCTATACTAGGCATGTGATAATAAGTTTTTCATTGTGAACCAATGCATACAAACTTGTTTCTTATGTACAATATAGTGTCCACAAATATATGAACATTTTCCAAAAGTGATGTTTTAAAGAATAAGTCAGTTAACAGCCAATAAAAAGGCTCAATCTCAGCCATTATTACAAATAATAGCAGGTGAATGGTGACTACAGGAAGTTTTATTGAGACCATGAAAAGGCTTCATATCAGTCACAAAAAGCTAGTAGGAACACAAGTAGCTAGAAGGTATGCAAATAGCTAGTGGGTATAATATAGCTAGTAGGAGCACAAAACTTTAATAGATATATAATAGTTAGTAGGAACATATATATCTGGTAGGTGTAGAATAGCTATTAGGTATACACTAGTTAGTAGGTATACAACAGCTAAAAGGAACACAAGTAGTATGAAGACACCTAGCTAGAAGGAACGATGGAGTAACTAATCGGGATGCACTAGATAGTTGAAACATAAAATATCTAGTAGGTTGTATAAGATGTGTGATAAAAATATAATTGTTTGCATTAAATACTAGACATCTCCTTTAAACTGTTTTATTTTCATAGTTATTGCTACAAAATTAATTATTTACATCACATAGGGATAATTCCATCTTTTTAAACTGTTTTGTTGTTTTCTTTATGGTTGGATAAACTACGATATAACACTTAATTGTTTGCATTGCATATTAGATATATCTTAAAACTTTCATTGTTTTCTTTTTATTTAATTGTGATACAGGTCTAACTGTTTAAATTACTTTCAAAATGTTTATAAAAAATATTTTGTTGTTTTCTTTAAAGTTGTTTAAATTGTGAGACAAATCTAATTATGTGCTTTACATGTACTTGTTTAAACTGTTGTTGTTTTCTTTGTGGTTGCATACATTGGTTGGTACAAATCTGTTAAGTTACATTACATATGTGATGTTGCTTTGTTTATTTTTAGGAGGAACTAAACAACTTGAAGGTTGAGGTGGAAAATTATGAAAGTCTCTCCAGATTGGGAGTATTTAGTGGATCTGGACTTGATGGTGCAGAGGATTCAATCATTCAATTAGGACTCATTAAACGACCTGGAAAAAGGTACAAACAGTATATTGTTTGAAGCTTTGAATTACATTCCAAATCAGTCTAGATAACTTATAACTAATTCTAATGATAAGTTGGCAAACAATCATGTATTAGCATAATAAAGTGATTTATTTTTCTAGGAACATACTATATATATTTACAGACCAATGCTCTTTTGAAACACGTTGTATGTTCCCCTCAAAATAGATCACTTTAACATGCTTATAAGTTGTTTTTTCCCGGTGTATTAGCATAATGGGCTTCTTTACTCAAGTAGATAACTACTGCTTTAGGTGTTTATGAAATTATTTTAATTAATAAATGAGAGACTGATTCTACAAACATTTTCTTTTTTTGATGATTTCAGTAAAATTTATATAGTACAAATGTAACAACTTTAGAAACTTGATTAAATAGACACCAGCAGAAAACCTAAGTAGACATCCAGTGAAGATACATGCAAAATACAAATTCTCTTGTTTTGCAAAACATGCATATTATTAATAATAATATTACTTTTGTTTTTAATGTAAATGAAGACGTTTTTGTAACTTATGCAAATTTTTACTCTAATTTTATATGTATATTAATGAATTTCTTACAAGTGTTACATCATGTCTTGGATTAAAATACATTGAAGTAGAAACTGACAAAAAGTTTATAAATGTGACTATAATGGATTATTAAAAAGGTAGATTGGTAATGGACAGCCACTGCATATGTATGTAACAATTGGAAATGTGGATCTTTTAAACTGTGATGTGCTTTATGTTCTTGTTAAGTGCTGTTTTAATATCTTTCTATTTAGTGTTTTTTCATAATTTTAGCAGGCCCGGCATGGCCTGGTGATTAAACCTCTCGACTCGCAATCTGCGGGTCCCAGGTTCGAATCCCTGTTCCACCAAACATGCTCACCCTTTCAGCCATGGGAGCATTATAATGTGACAGTCAATCCCACTATTCATTGACAAAAGAGTAGCCCAAGAGTTGGCAGTGGGTGGTGAGTGACTAGCTGCTTTTCCTCTAGTCTTTCACTGCTAAATTAGGGACGGTTAGTGCAGGTAGCCCTCATGTAGCTTTGCACAAAATTCATAACAAACCAACCCATAATTTTAGCTTTATGTAAAGACATATAAAGAAAATGATGAAATAATTTTTGAACCGACAGTACCAAAAAAAAAACAAATAGACATCAACATGTGTGAATCTGTGAGTTATTGTATTCTAGTTCATGAGTGTAGACACTTTTATATATATGTTAAGCTTTAGAGTTGAATGTATATGTTCAAAAATTTAGTGATTTTTTGTCTTACTTATCATATACTAGTTAGTGTTCAAAAAGTTTTTTATGTTGTTTACATTGTAGTCTTGACTAAAACTATTACCAGTGTAGTGTGATTAGAAAATGGAGTTTTGTTTAAGATACTAAGATAACAGTATTATCAAAACCTAACTGATAGACATTTGTTTCATTTAAGTTTACAGAACAGAGATGATGTTCTTACTAATCTGAAAGCTGAATTAGAACGTTGTTTAACAAACGTGCGGACACGAAGACTTCAAGCAGCAAATCTACAAACAGAACTCACTCAAGCTGCCAAGGAAGTAAATCGATGGCAAGAGAGAGCAGAAAGTGCAGAGCAGAAAGCTGCCAAAGCTGAAGTGAGTAAAGTTGGAAAAAAGAGTTTTTAGAAATATTATATAACAATGCTGAGTAAGTTAGTGAAAAACAAAATGACTGGAGTTAAAATTAAGGAGTGCTTATTAAAGTAAACAACATTAGTTTTAGCTATCAGTTATCTTATTGAAGGGGTTTTGGTGGAATTTTATGAACTTAATGATTCGATTCTACATTGATATGAAAATATTTGATATCAGCATATCTTCCAGAACCAGTATGAATGAGAAAATGTTAACTCCTATTGAACACTTATCCAGAGTCAGTTATTACCTCACCATAATTACCAGTATTTTATTGACTTTCTGTGAAAGTACTGTATTTTCTTTATTGATTTATAGTAGAGAGGATTGTTAATGATGTATTTTTGGTACTACTTTGGATATCCAGCCATTTTTTCATTGGCTTCCACGTTATCTGTGACTACGTAGACTAAAAGCTGTGATCCTCTTGTTATTGTTTAGTTGAAGTATGGTGATCTGCAAATGCAGGTGGCACCTGATACTGGTCCTTTCTAGGAGAGGATAACATTATAGGACTTTTAAATTCAAAATTATCTTATTACATGATCATAAGTGTTTTGAAAAAAGGTAATTTTTAGTTTTGAACAGTATTAGTAAAACAAAGGAAACAAGCTACTTCACAGCTGGTTATCAGTCACACTCTGAAGAAAGTTAATCAGTTGTTACCAGAAGTAACCCCTAAACACAGTAGTTCATTGCTACTAAAGTAGCAAAGCTTCCTTTGGAACCATAAACCAGAAAATTCAAACATTTTACACTAGATGTATAAATGGGCTTTGGAAAATTGTGTTTACAAGCTGCTTCCAATGCTTATATCTGAATAAATGCAATAGTTCATTGCTACTAAAGTAAGAACCCCCCTTTGGAACCATAGTCAAGCATCTTTGACACACTTCTCCAAAGCCCATTTACAGATCTGATGAAAATGTTTGAATTATCTGATTTATTGTCTCAAAGAATGTTTAGTAGCAATAAATTGTTGTGTTTATTTGGCTATAAGCTTTAGAAGGAGCTTGTAAACACACTTTTCTAAAGCCCATTTATACATCCTTTGGAACTGTAAATCAGAAAATTCATACATTTTTAGATGTGAAAATGGGCTTTGGAAAAGTGTGTTAATAGCTGTATACAATGTGACAGTATCATTGGATATGTCTACTTAAGTGTCTCTAAAAAATGGACAAATTTGTTATTCTTTTGCCAATATTAGAACATTTTGTTTCTAAGGGATCTCTGGTGATTTGAGGTTAAAGCTATAATTATTAGATAAAAAACTTGAAAAGTAGAGATATAAGGCAAAATTCTATATTGCTGACACAACTATACCATGAGGAAATACCATCTTCTTATAAAGTTGATGGCAATAAAATATGTTTACATTAAAGTAAAGACTAGTCATTCATCCGAGTCAATATGTCAGTTCCTCTGAAAGATGCAATTACAAATGAAAATTCATCGGGTTCCATTCTAAGATATTCCTATGGATGTCTGTATTTTTGAGCTGTTCAAACAGGTATGTTGTCTATACATAGTTGATAGACTTTACAAAAACATCTAAATAATAAGGGGGGAATAAAGAAAACTTCACCTTACCACATTGCGCAAAATTTTCCTGCATTTGAATTTGCACTGAAGAACAGTAGTCTGTAACCAGGTCTATCACGTACAATGGCATTAGAAGTAGAAGGTACCATAAGGCATGGACACTTATCCCTGTGTTGTTACAATATATCATGATCACCTTTATGTTGTTACTGTACATCATGACCACCCTGTGTTGTTATCATGCATCACAATCCCTCCTGTGTTGTTATCTTACATCATGATCACCCCTATGTTGTTACCATACATCATGATCATCCCCATGTAGAAGCTCTTGTGGCATAAAAATTATTGTTTGCTGTTAGATGGATAATTATTTAATGATATTAAAATTACACTTTTGAAAATGATATTGTTTTCATCTTATCAGTTACATTGATTTTAATATTCATATTCTAGGAAAAAATTCCAATGTTAGAGAGGAGATTAGAAGAGCTCTGTCCAAATGGATCTGTGCCTTTAGGTCAGCATCAGAAAATGGTAAAAGATTTACAAGAACAAAAAGATGGCCTCGAGAGAGAGTTAGAAGTATGTTCTGGCTTGTGACTATATATGCAGGGCCTTTATAGTACAGGGCCTGCTGTAGTACTTACTTCAGTCTTTAATAATTGTTGTTGTAAATACTTCAGTTTCTAAAACCTGCTGTTGTATTTACTTAGTACATAAAATCTACTCTTGTACTTACTTCAGTCCATAAAATCTACTCTTGTATTTACTTCAGTCCATAAAATCTACTCTTGTACTTACTTCAGTCCATAAAATCTACTCTTGTATTTACTTCAGTCCATAAGATCTACTCTTATATTTACTTCAGTCCATAAAATCTACTCTTGTAGTTACTTCAGTCCATAAAATCTACTCTTGTATTTACTTCAGTCCATAAAATCTACTCTTGTATTTACTTCAGTCCATAAAATCTACTCTTGTATTTACTTCACTCCATAAGATCTACTCTTGTATTTACTTCAGTCCATAAACTATCTCTTGTATTTACTTCACTCCATAAAATCTACTCTTGTACTTACTTCACTCCATAAAATCTACTCTTGTACTTACTTCACTCCATAAAATCTACTCTTGTACTTACTTCACTCCATAAAATCTACTCTTGTATTTACTTCAGTCCATAAAATCTACTCTTATATTTACTTCACTCCATAAAATCTACTCTTGTAGTTACTTCAGTCCATAAAATATACTCTTGTATTTACTTCAGTCCATAAAATCTACTCTTGTACTTACTTCACTCCATAAAATCTACTCTTGTATTTACTTCAGTCTCTAAAATCTTTATAACAAAGGATATGATGAGGAGTTTAAGCTTTGGATGAATATGATCAGAATTTTAGATACATCTTGGACTACAAACATAATTATCTGGGATTTTGGAGAAGCTTTGAATGGTCAGAGATTCACTAGAGTATTTTAACAATCTTTTTGGGGACTAAATAGCTTCACTACTATAGTGTAGTTTTTCTTTAGAAATGTTTTGTTAAATCCTATTGTTTTTAAAGTTAATTTTACCCTTGTGAAGGCTTTTTTGCATTGTTAGATTATTATACTGATTCATTGTTTAGCTAAATCTCCTCAGGTGGCTGAATCTTTGAGTTATTATTATTGAATCATTGGCTAAAAATACTTTTAACAGCTGATGATTTAGTTTATTCTAATCATGATACATTCTAATTTCTATTGTAGTGATATATTACATCAAATAATTGGTAAACAGGATTCTTCTCTAATGTTTAAGAATTATCACTGCTCATGCTCTTGTATTCATACAGGAACATCTTTCAAATTCTCTTTGGAGTTTTGGATTCTCATTTCTTTATTTGTAAGATACCTATAGTTTCTAGGATAGAGCTTTTAACTTATCATTCGTAACAAAAGTTTCAATTTTGGGTTATTTTTTTCTTATTATCAAGTGTAAGTCTGATCATGACCAACCCTAAAGAATTTATTACCTATTGAAGTAAAAAAAAACAAGAGCTAAGTTTGAAGTTAAACACACTTTCTTGAAAAGACAAGCTATTAGAGTAAAAAGATAAAAAAGAAAAAAATATTCGATTTATTACTGTGATATGTTGTTCTGACTGGAACTTTATATGAGAAACTTGAAAGAAAAGAAAACAATTATTGATTTAATGTTATAACTTCATCACTTGTATTCTGAGACATGTCAGTTCCAGTAAGAAATTTTAAAAGTTCTTACATGACAGATAAGAAATCATTGCTTTGTTAAAAGTCTCACACAAAAGGAAATACGTAAATTGTCGAAAAAGTAGAAAACAAGATACATAAATGATTTTGCAATTTTAGTTTTAGAAGCAAAACTTGTACCTCAATCCTTCTTCACAAAAATAGCACAGTACTTTTTAAAAATGATGATACTTCATTAAATGGTATATACAAAATATTTTATCAGACAAAGAACTAAATAAGACACTAATTTATCCATTTGTTCTTGTTTCCTAGGAATTAAAAGATAGGTTACAGTATGTATGTCACAGTGAAGAACAGCTTACTGAAATGAATCAGCAGTTAAAAAATCAGATGTCTCAAATGTTGATAGACCATGATGAAGACAAACAAGAAGCTGTAATGAGGTACGATTCTTTAGTTATTTTACTTATGTTCTCCTAGCTGTTGGTTTTCGAGAAAATTTTTGACTCTAGATATGACCTGGAGGTAAAAATTGTAATTCTGGGGTTGAGTCTGGACACCTGTTGGTGGTAAAGGTAATTTTCATACAGTATATTATCTCTGCTCAAACAAGTAGCTATTCTCATTCAGTGCTACCCTCTATATGCAAAAAAAGTTTTTTGCATGCCACAAGCCTTGAATTCCCACGTACCTTACAATCGACTGATTCAGATGTGTCTTGCATGCAAATCATCATGTGACTCCTTCTATTCGATTCTACTGAACTATCACTTCCCGTTTGGTAGTACTCTTGTTGTAACATTTAGTTTGTGCTCTCTTCAAGTGTTTTTCTTATTTCTGTATCTTTGTATCAATTTCTCTCAACAAGTTTACTCTTGATTATATAATAGTGACATTTGTGACTTGTTGAGTTATTCCAAAGTGGAATTATTTTATATTTCTTTCTTCCAACAGTTTTATTTGGTTATTCATTTTGAATTCTATATTCTAAGTAACCACTTCGAAGGTTATATGACCTATCAGCACATTTACACAAGCTTCAATTGATGGTATTCCAAGGGGAAATTATTGACTTTACTTCATTGGGAGATTGATCAACAAATGAGCTGACCTTCATCAGGCCTCTTCTCGAGTTTGGGAGACCACACATTTTGAAATACAGGCTGTCAACTTTGGAAACATAAAAGGTTGTACTGTTTTGGTTTTTGAATACCTTTATTATCAGTATTATTATTTTTGGTTATTTGGATTCCACAATATAAGTTTTGTTAGATTGGTCAATACTGATAGTTAAGTTCAGGTTGGAAATTAGGCTTAGTTGTATTCTTTGTCATATACCATTCGCTTAGGCTTACCATGGGTCTTTGTTATTTTAGGACTACCTGTAATTCATCTTATTGGTATATCAATCATTAGTTTAGCTATTTTGTTTTTCTTCCATACATCACATCTCATACATGTTATTGTTAATACACACTTACTTAATTTTACAAAATAACATCTATTTCATTTTCGTTAATATTTATTTTTTATACTTCGTCATATTAACTTGGTTTGTGTAGAACCCTTGAGCCAGGGTCCACAGAAACTTCTCCCAATATTGTACATACTTGTTGTTAGGTTATAGTTTTTAATTTAGTGCTTAGTGATATACTTTGTCCTCCACTGTTTGATTAGGCTTAACAAGTGTCTGTTATTTTTGGTTTACCTGTAGTTCTACTTACGGGTTAATCAGTAATTAAGTTCAAGATCTTGTTTTTTTAAACACATGATATCTAATACATATGTTCATTTCACTACTCAATTTCTTAACATTTACAAGATATCGACTATTTCATTTTCGCCATTCTTTATAATTTATACTTTTACTATTCATTTCGTTTAATTTATAATTTCTACTTCTTACCATTAATTTCATTTGTGAGGGTCTCTGGGGGCCAGGGTTCACCCTATCTGCTCCCAGTATTGCTTGCCTTCCTCCAAAAATAACTGAACCCATTTCGGACAACCTAGATTTTGTCATGGATTGCCTTCCCAGGCCTCTACTGCAGAATCTGCTAGGCCTATCTAGTTTGTTTTTTTTAGACATGTTTCACAGTATATTCCCCTTCTCCTGACATTGTTTCATGCTGATCATTTTTGTTTCTCTTTTGAGAGTGTGTACTTGCAAGCCTCGCACTACATAGGCTATGATTCTTTTTTGCCTTAGCTTACCATCAGGCAGATTTTTTTCTTGATTATATATCATTCAATTTTTTTGTTAATCTTATCCATTTTATCCCCTGCTTAGTTTTTCAGTTTCGTATTACCCTACTGACTCTCCTACAGGTAATTTTTACCTTCAACCTCCTTTTTTTAGGTATTCCACTTATATTTTTGGATTTTTGTGGGATATCTCCTCCTTCTTCCATCCATATTGGGGTGTTTGCCTTTTTCAGTTATTGCTCTCCATACGTGTCTTCTTTGCTTCTGGGATCTTCTAGGGTGGGACATTTGTTTACCATCCACTGCTAATAGGGACTTCCAGTCAGTTCTTTTTCTCCACTGCTCCGTTTTTTTGGCTACTTCTGTATATTTAATGTCACATGGGGTATCTATGATGCTATATTAAAATTTTTGTTGGGTTGCTCTTTTGTTTCATTGTCATCTTATTCATTTTACATGTGTGGCACCTTCCTGTCCTTTACCTATCCTACCTGCAGGTTTCTCCATTTGTTGTGTATGATTGATGCTCATTGAAGTTCTGGAGTGATCAATTCCACCCTAATCACTTCTTCAGCCTTCACCATTCTAATATGTATTCTTTGATCACATTTGGGTGGGGTATTTCTGCAGGACTGAGAATGCCCACAGTACATGCTCTTATTTTCCATTTCTTAGGATGCTATATTAGGTTTTTTCACCACATGATTTGGTAACTGTTTCATGCCCTGCCCCATGGATTGTTTTGGTTTTGTATGTCTTTTTGTTGGGTGGTCACCGTCTTACCCAACTCCTACATTTTGGGGGATTTTTGCAACACCATTAATTGGATGTTTAGCTTCTGTTAGCTTCTTCCAAACATGGGTAGTCTTAACATACTCGGCTACTCCTTCCACAGTCAGCTTGGGTACTTGGATTTTCCAGTTGGTTAAGTTTTCCCTGTTCCATACCTCACATTTTAGTCTCTTTGGGGAGTGTATTTTTAAACACCCCTCCATCTGTATGATCCATTTTCCTCCTCAGATGCATTCAGTGGAGTTTTCTTTTATTCAAACCATTACAGTTCACTATCCTACTGTTAGCAAGGTTCTAATGCATTGGGGGATTTGGTTTGTATGCGAGCACTTCTCCCTTTTGGTCTACCATGTGTGATCTTTTCAGGAGATACTTCATGACCCATGGTCTTCTGCTAGGGTTGCTTTGGATTTTTCTCTTAACTTTTATCCTTCCCTCTTTGACTATATGTATTGGTGGTTGAACATATCCCCCTTAACCTCAGGTTTACTACTTCCTTACCCTACTTCTGGATTGTTTCTTTACCCTGAATCTCATCTCTAAAGTTGGCATGGTTCGATCAGTAGGAGGCTCAGGACAAAGGTCTACACATGGTTCGAATCCCCATCCAACCATTGTTCTGTTCCTTTTGGATGTGCTCCTCCAAATTTCTACCCATGTCTGTAACGCCTCTTTCAACACTGGGTGAAGAGTATACCTAGTACAGAAGTGGTGCGTTCTCCCACACATGATCCTCTACTGCGAAAATCTACTCTTTTAGGGTGTCCTCTGGATGCTTTCAAAAGATGCTTCTTTCTTTCCATCGCACTGGTCCCTCCACCTATTCAGTGTGGGATTCTAGCTATTTATGTGAGTGGAGATAATATACCAAATCGGAAGTTATAAGTTTCCTATACTGAAAATATATTTTTGATATGTGCTTACCTCCTCTCACACTTCACACCTTTCTTCCCCCACTGAAAACTGGTGCTTTCATTTTCTGCCAAAACTTGAAGTGAAAGTTCGGTAGAATCAAATAGAGGGAGACGTGTCAGGAGAGTGTGTTGCGCTCATATTGGTGGAGGGTTGTTGCATGATGATTTGCATGTGAGACACATTTGAATCAATCGATTGTAAGGAATGTAGGAGCTCAAGGCTTGTGGCATGCAAACAGTTATTTTGCATATAGAGGACAGCACTGAACAAGAATAGCTATTTATGTGAGAAGAGGTAAGTACCTATTGGAAATATATTTTCAATATAGGAAAATTATAACTCCTGGGGTTGACTGGACACCTGTTGATGGTAAAGGTAATTCTGGGATTGCCACTTGGTGGAAAGATAATTCTGTGTTTGACCCTGTACACCTTTTGGGGGGTAAAGTTGATGATTCTGGGGTTTCTTCTGGCCACCACTTGGTGCTAAAAATGATAATGCTTTGAATTTTATCTCTAACCATCAGATATATGTTTATAAAACTTAAATATTCTCATGGCTGTTTGTCAAGTTGACTTTCTGTTCTTATTGTTTCTTCAATGGGAACAATAGATACTGCTACATATCTGCCCTGTCTTTAGGCAGCATTTTATACCTATTATTGGTGTGATAACTTGTTCTTCTATTTATCACTGTGGTGTGGAAATTTTGCCATTTCAGACTACTGCATAGTTTTTAAATTTCATTAATAAAACATGGATAGGTGTATTTGAAACTTCTCCTGCACTTTCATGCTCCCTTCTCTCCAAATTTCCTCCATTAATTTTGGTTTGGAAATAAATTGTCATGTTCGATTCTTTTCTCAGTTTGACTAACATGCTTTATCGAATATTTCTTTTTTTTAAAAACCTGTTACATTTTTTCTTTTTTTATTTCATCCAACACATTTTTAATTCCCAGTCCTGTTCTGTCATTTTTCTGTGATGTACTTCCATTTTTTTCTTATTGTAATCTGCATCCTTTTTTTTCACCATTATGGAAGGTTCAATTTCTCATCTCAGCTGTGTGATAATTTTGTTTCCACTGTTATTAACAAATAATAACTTGCTAAAGTTCCTCTTCATACAAGAATTATACCATGCTAAAAATAAAATTGAAACCCTATCTATCATTCAATTTACCATTTGTCACTAAGTTACACTGGTTTTGAGGAAATCTTTTTTCAAGATATATTTTACTCACACAAGATTTTCTTAAACATTTCAAAACACCGTACATATAAGGATTCTAACAATTGAGATCTGAGGTAGTCCCGTTTTCAGGTACTCTTTGACTACAAAACCTTAAATATACATGGGATAGAATGTATCTCATACTTATCACTAAGATACAATGTATTTTTAAAGGTTATCATATAATCTAACATAATGTTTTGGGACCTATTCGTTCATCTCGGCTGTCCCATCCTCTAAACTAAACTAAAGCTATTGATAAATAAATTTCAATAAAATCTTAAAACCAGCCCTTATTATTCATCTACTTATCAAGCCTTTTCTTAAACTCACTTAACTTTACTGCCTCTACAGCATCAGAAGGCAACTCATTCCAAAGGCCGACCACCCTGTTAGAAAAATAAAACTGTCTTAGCTGAAGATGACTCCTATTCTGCTAAAGTTTATATTTGTGTCCCTTAGTCCTACTATTCTCATTATTAAGTATGAAAAAGGATGATGCATCAACACTATCAATTCCCTTTACAATCTTAAACACCTCAATCACATCCCCCTAACTCTTCTGTTTTTTTCAAGAGAAAACAATGTTAGAGATTTCAGCCTCACCTCGTATGACAACCCCTTTATCACAGGCACCATTCTAATAACCCTTCTCTGAACCCTTTCCAACAATTCAATATCCTTCCTAAGGTAAGGAGCCCAAGACTGAACACAATATTACAAATGTGTTCTAACCAGTGACCTATACAATGAAATTATAACCTCTTCAGACTTGTATTCAATATTTCTGTAGATACAACCTAAAATCCTATTTGCCCTATCACTAGCAACAGCACACTGCTTAGATGGCTTAAGAGACTGATCAACCATTACACCAAGAACCCTTTCTTTCATGATACTTTTAAGGTTATTCCCATACAAGTTATACTTATAATTCAAATTATGATAACCCACATGCATTATTTTGCATTTATTATAATTAAAACCATTAGCCATGTATTTGCCCAACTCACTAAATGATCTAAATCCTTTTGTAAATCCTCTTCACAGCTAGCACCACCCAAGACCTTAATATCTTTTGCAAATTTAAGTAATTTATTGATCATTCCTTCATCTATGTCATTGATGTATATCAAAAAGAGTGAAGGTACTAAGACTGAGCTCTGATAAGATTATAAGATTAATCCAGTTTGACTGAACTCCATTTGCAACAACCCTCTGCTTTCTTTCATCCAGCCACTCTTATATCCAATTTGCTAACTTATCTCCCACATCTAATTAGAAATTTTTTTACAAGTCTTTTATATGGCACCTTGTCAAATGCTTTCTGAAAATCTAGATACACCAAATCTACACCCTTATCCTCATCTACAAAAGCAGTAACCTTGTCAAAGAATTTCAAAAGATTTGCAAGACAAGATTTTCACTTAGTGAAACCATGTTGACTATCCAATAAAATTATGAACCTTTTTAAGTGGCTTTGCAAAGCATCTTTTTTCAGACTTTCCAAAACTTTTCCCACAACTGATGTAAGAATATTGGCTAATAATTTTTAAACATTTGAATAATACTGGCTTTTTAAAATCTAACTAATGTAGGTTGCTTAACTGATTCGCTATACCTTTATAGATTTTGTAGGGACATTTGTTTCTGTGGAACCTACACTGAAAAACATAGGCCAAACTTGTTAAGTGTATTTAGAAAGAATATATTCATAGAACATTAATGATTTAATAAAATAAATAATTGAATTCAGCAAAATGGTTGCTGTGACTTGACTTCACGTAGCTGACAGTTAGTTGTTGAAAAAACAACAACAGTGCAACTGTATGTTCATGAATAATGAAAGTCTATATCTATATTTCTTGTGCCATCTGGTATAGATAAAATATTTGTACTGAATTATCATACTTCCTTTTTATAAAAGTATAATTACTTGCAGGATCAAGAGACAAAAAAGCTAGCTTCAGAAAAGAAAATCCATATCCCAAGCTCTTTTAGGAAGTGGAATTTCCTTCATCAGGGATATATGGCATATAAAATATGATAATCAGTTATATGGCTATTGTGTTGGAAAATTATATACATAGATTCTTGTAAGCCATTTTTCAAAAACTATTCTTTTTCTTTGTTTCCCATCACATATACATACATACACATGCAATACTGTTTCACAGTTTAGGTCTTATTCTTAGAAATGCATGATGTCTCACTTTGGTGCAATGTCCACATCTTGTTAGATGTGTTTACAAGGTCATGTACCATTTAGCCCTGATGGATGAAAATCTACTTTCCAAAAACACTTGGGTTATATGCTTTCCAACTTGCCTGATTTTCCCTGTATTATTTGTATTGTATAGGTGTTTTGATGCAGTATATTTCTTAGAAACCACGATTTAAAAGTTTTAGTAACTTAAACTCATTTTCTTAGGTGCAGAGATGAATATTCTCAAAGGCATCATGACTCTGTACAAAAATTGGAACAACAACTGATAAAGATGGCTGAAAATGAGAAGGAAAAATTACAGCAAGAATATGAAGGAAAAATAAAAGAATTAACGTAAGTTTTTGAGTACATATGAGTATTGTATAATGGTTAGAGTTAGTTTGAAATTTTTGTTTCACAATTACTGAAATGATGGTGCAGTGCATTTTGTCTTTTATTTTTAATGCAATTTAAGCTTGCAAAAGGAAGAAGTTTTTATGATTAAGCCAATTTGAAATTAATTTATGTAAGAGAAAGAAGAAGAATAAAAAGTAGCCACAGTCAGGCATGTCATTTCATCATTTTAAAAATTCCAAAAGAGTCTACAAATGTCTTGAAAAACTTACATTATTTTTTGATAGATAATTTAGGCAGAGTATCCATATTTAGTTGACTGTGAAATGGGTGGCAACTGCTCATTAGAGAAATACTTGTAGAAATATGTTGATGACAATACAATCTACTTATGTAGCTCGAGTGTAGAAAAATGATGTTTTGAAAGTCTTCTGGCTTTCATCTTCAGGTCAGTTTGTGCAAGCTACTGCCAGCCATATGTAGTGTCCAAGTGGATTGAGGTTGATGTACCTTGATTGGTTGTTTGTTTCTGGGCCTGATTGTTGGAGTGACTGAGTGTGGACTTTTGCATTCTATCTTGCATCTTTTTTTTGTGATGTGGTTTTGTTGGGGTGTTTGTTAAATGCTGGCATCTTGAGCTGATGCAGCTCTTTAGCAGTCATCTCTGTTCCTGTTGGTTTCTTGTCTTTGGGACCAGGGATCCCCACCATGTTTCTCATGAGATACAGCCTAATGGTGTCACCTGTCAACCCCTCTTTTCCTTCTCTTCTTCTTAATATCCATGGTTTGCAGTTCTTAGAGGGTTTGGTGCTGTGGAAGCACTGCTCTCCTGCTTTGTTCACGGATGGAATCCCTTTGCTGGAGCCTACTGAGTTCTTCAGGGTATTTCTCAGGGTCTTTTTCGTGTTCTTCTGTTTTCAACTTCATCTGTTTCAAATGTCATTTGATAATCCCTCAACCCCACTCTGAGGTTTTTCTCCCATCTTTTTTGTCATTTCCATAAAGGTGAGAGGTTGTTGGCCAGATGTCAATGTGTCTCACTTGACACTTTTGTCTTTCCTTGGTTTCAATGGGTGGTTTTCTTATTCTCCTTTGGATACTCTCCCTGGTTTTGGATGATCAAGTTTATGGTCTCAAACACTTTCCACACACACACACTTGTCTGCCTGCCTTTTGCTTCCTTTGGATTGTCCACAGTGGCCAAATATTTTTTCATTGGGTCCAGTGGGTTTTTACTTGGAGGCTATCTTCATGAGACCTATTGTTCCACTACTCTATGGACATTTGTTATCTACTTGCTTCTTCCATTGTGGTTTTCTCTGTTGTGACCTATCTTCTCCATTGGAAGTTATCTTGTTTGGGTTGTCTAATCCAGCTCTCCAATTCAGTATCATCTCTCAACTTTTTTCATTGTGGTATGGAGTTTTTTATTCTAAGGCTATCATATCTCCTTCATTTCCTACATGACTGTTTTGTGGAATCTCTCTCTTTCCTTGAGTCACTCGTTCCTCTTGGATGAGTCCATAAAAGTGTCCCCTTTAGTGGTTTTTGACCCATCAATGTAGGTTTCTCCATAGATCCACTGTTTTCTTTTCACCTATTGCATTTATGGTGGCTCACTCAATTCCACATGACCTTGGACATCTGTCTTCCATAACCTTACCCAGACTTCCATCTGTTTGGAAACATGAGAAGTTAATCTGTGGCTCCTTCTGCTGGGTGAGCATAGCACAAGTAGCACTTTGTGTTGACTTTGCCCTTGATGACAACCAATCCTAAGGGCATACCTTTTCACTGCTCATGTTCTGGTAAAGTGCAGTTCAGGGTACCTGATCCATTGGAAAGAAGAGCTGGGGTGTAGTACAGGACATCTTCACTATATTATGAACAATGGCTTTCCTGATGGTTGGATCCAACCAGATGAGTCTTGGGTTTGCTTTGTAACACAGGTCTTGGATGCACCTCATTTTTTGGTGTTTATGTCACATAAGCATTTCTCATATACAGAAGGATCTGACTTGTAACTGTACCCACATTATACATTCATGTTCAGTTGCCCAGCTGTGAAATAATGGCCACTTGAGCTGTTTTACATTTCTGCCTACCTTAGCACCTCCTTTCCTAACAACAAATGCTTCAGTAACATTGCCTGAGATGCATGCAGTCTTCCACTAAGTACTGCTCCACTGGAGTACCACCCTGCCTTATGGATGTCACACTTTTTTTGACACTGTTTTCTGAAAGGAACTCATACTTGTAATTTATTTCTCTACACTGTTGTGTAGCATTTCTGAAAGTGATATTTTTCTTACCTGAAAAGGTATTTCAGAGAGATACTATCTCTCTCCACCACCTCCTTCCCATTTCCAGTTCATTTAGCTTGCTTAGTTAAGAATGGGTATAAGTTCAACTGCTAGTGCTTCTACTGATTATGGTGCATAGAGGATGCATAGCCTATAGGGCTATAGTCTAATGATGATTACATCATAGGCTGGTGCAATACATCTTAAAATGAGTGGAAGTGAGAACTATATTCAAGGCAGTGCATGCAAGATAGAATATTTTTGTTGATGCAGAGAGATGACAATCTACGTGAAATACATTTGAAGGTAAGGAAAATGTTAACTTTTGAACTTGTTTCCTGGCCACACTGAAATGATAACATTTCATACATGTATATAACATAATAATAAGCTAAGAGGAAAGTGTTTTAACATATTTCTAATCTTTAATTCCTGTTCTGTCTTTGAGTGATGTTAGCATTACTTCCTTCATTTACAACCAAAACATCGTATGCCTATTTTTCTAAGTTAAATTAAAACAATTGAATAGCTCAAATGGTAAGTTTGGATTGGTTCATTAGAAAATTTCCTGATTTTAGAAGTATCCTAAGGAATGCTGAAAAATAATTTATTCAGACAGTTAAAATGAGATTGAGGTAAAGGAAACAATAAACAACATATTTCACCTGATATAAGGTCAAAAGTATATATATATGAAATAAAATATTCATTTTTTATTGTATTGGTGGCTAAAAAATTTCCTTTGTAGCAGGGCTAATTGACATAACTGTTTTAAACTATGCTCATCAAGTACATGTATGTACAAGTTCTGTTCTATTTTTATTTTATTTTATCAGTAATCACATCCGAGATCTTGCCACAGCACTGGATGATGTTAAAAATCTCTATGTGAAAGTGTGTCATGAAAAAGAGTTTGTGGAAAACCAAGTTCTTGATCTACAAGAGAAGCTCCAGAAAGCTAACCAAGAAAAAGGATTTTCTGAAGATAGTCAACCAAATGAAAAGTGGAAAGTCATGCTTCAAAATGGTAAATTATCTTGAAATAGATAAGTTTGTGGTTCAGAACAGAATATTCTTGTAAGGTAGATAAGTTTGTGCTTCAGAATGGTCCATTCTTGTGAAGTAGGTAAGTTCATGCTTCAGAATGGCACAATCATGTGAAGTAGATAAGTTCATGCTTCAGATTAGTACATACTTGTGAAGTAGTTAAGTTCATGCTTCAGATTAGTACGTTCTTGTGAAGTAGATAAGTTCATGCTTCAGATTAGTACATACTTGTGAAGTAGTTAAGTTCATGCTTCAGATTAGTACATTCTTGTGAAGTAGATAAGTTCATGCTTCGGATTGATACATACTTGTAAAGTAGATAAGTTCATGCTTCAGATTAGTACATACTTGTGAAGTAGTTAAGTTCATGCTTCAGATTAGTACATACTTGTGAAGTAGTTAAGTTCATGCTTCAGATTAGTACATTCTTGTGAAGTAGATAAGTTCATGCTTCAGATAAGTACATACTTGTGAAGTAGGTAAGTTCATGCTTCAGATTAGTACATTCTTGTGAAGTAGATAAGTTCATGCTTCAGATTAGTACATACTTGTGAAGTAGGTAAGTTCATGCTTCAGATTGATACATACTTGTAAAGTAGATAAGTCCATGCTTCAGAATTGTACATTCTTTTAAAGTAGATAGAAGCATTAACAGTTATTAATAAACTTGTTTCAGTCAATTCTTTTTTTTTTTACACAACTGTGAGATACTTTGTAGGGGTAGATTCGGATTTCTCATGTTTATTTTGTAATTTGCTCTTTTCTTATTATTCATTAATTTTTCTGTGACAAATAAACACAAGATTGATAATTTTTTTTCAGTGTTATTTCTTCATACTGCTGATGAGATTGTTTCAGTCACTTGATTATAAAACTATTTCATATTAAAATACAAAACTTTGAGAAGGTGATTTTGTTGTGAAATAAAGTTGATTTGATAGATTGTGTGGCCATAATATATCATATGTTTATATCTTTATTAGCAAAAGAAGAATGGTTGAAAGAAGCTGAAAAAGTATACACAAAAAGATTAGAAACAGAGTTAGCTAAATCAGAGGAAAAGTGGAATGGAGAATATAAAGAAACCTGGCAGAGAATCAAGATAGAAGAGGTGAACTTGGAGGTTTTATTGTTTTTGTTAATGCTATTTTGTGCAGGAAAAGGGTTAAGATTGAATGCTTATTGGGGATGCTTAAGTCTATCACAATTATTGTGACAAAAAACAATTTAAGTTTTTGAATACATATTAATTTACAGTAGTGTGCATGAAGCAGAACTAAATTACAAAATGGTGAAAAATAAAATAAATCTTTAATGTATGAATCGCACTAAGTTCCACTTTCTACTGTTACTACTTTCCTATAAGTTCACAGTTGGATGTTTTCTGTGCTGTAGTGTTGTGAGGATTCAAAACACCTTGGGTACGTAAGAGGGTCAAAAATAACTTCCAAGTGATACTGTTTGCAAGCTGTGTGAGAGAGGTCATTAATTTTAAAATACAATTAATTGACTATATTTTAAAATGTATTATTATTTACAATGTAAAATGGACCACATTAATCTGATCATTGGTTATTTATTCTTATATCTTTTTGTTCCTTTTATCTACATTTAATGAGAATATTTTGTTTTAAGTTGATTGCATGTGGTTTTATACGTACTAAATGACCCTTGGTTTTATCAAGCCAACTTAGTCTGAAGCCTCGACATAAAGTTTCATGAACACTTAGATTCTTGAGTTCATGAAGCTAACTCAACTATAAAGTGATTCTTGAGTAAAGAAGCTATCTCAACTTTAAAGTGATTCATGGGTTTATGAAGCTAACTTAAGTCTAAAGCCTAGAAATAAAGTTTCATTAACACTTAGATTTTTTGAGTTTATGAAGCTAACTCAAAATTAAAGTGATTCAAAAGCTTTGAAGCCAACTCATATTTATAGCTTGAACATGAACACTTGAGTATTTACCATTTGAGTTTTCTCTGAATAATTGATTTAATTTGTTTTTGAGAAAAGTATTATACTTATTTTTTTAACTATTCAATGTTATCTTTAAAATCTACAATGAAACACGTACAATTTTCTAAAATACTTAGTCTTGATGTTTGAATAAACCATATGCTTCAAGTATACAGTTTTCTTTATTGAAAACATAATATCTTAAATTGATATCTATAGATGCTTGATTATTTAACATAAATGAAAGACACTTGCAATGAGACATATTTTAGCTTTTGATAAAATTCACATGATTCCTTCAGGAAGAAGTAGCTCTAAGAAAGAAGCTAGAAGAAGAACTGCACATGCAATATGAGCAGGAGAAGCAGAAAGCAGTAGAGGAGGTTCAGCTGGAATATGAAACAAAATGGACACACTGTAAATATAATTTACAACATCTTTATGAAGCTAGGGTAGAAGAAATTGTGCATCAGAATGCTAAGTTCTTAACAGGAAAAGTTGCAGAAATACAAGCTGAGATGGAAAAAAAACAGGTAAATTTTATATGTTAAGAAGAATTCAAGCAGTTTATGGTCCTTCTAATCCATAAAGGTTCACAAATGACATTATTTTATTTAAAGCATGTTTAACCTTAAATAACCTACTCATTTATATACCACTCACTACTATTGGAATGTAAATG